GATTTTTAAGTGTTATTAAAGTCACCTAATGAAACTGACGAAGAAACAAATGACAAAATGAAATGAAGTTCACATTCATCGATTTATTCCAAATGATCGTTAGACTAAGTAAGGCACAGACTGACCATTATAAGGGTAAAATGATACCCGGGGTCAAACAGCAAAGTTACCACAGCATCACAACCAAGTCAGTAACGGGTAAATCCTCCTCTGTTTGCCAAACAAGCATTGATCCGACGTGGCATACTCCTAATGAGACGTCTAAGGTCATTTTGGTCCAGATTGTCCCATTCCTGTTGCAACGCAGCAGCAAGTTCTTGGACATTGGCAGGACGTTGTTGACGTTGACGTAACCTCTGTCCAAGCATGTTCCAGACATGCTCGATGGGGGAGAGGTCGGGACTCAGTGCTGGCCAAGGTAATGTGGTGATGTTCTGTTGTTGGAGGTAACCTGTAACGATCCTGGCCCTGTGACATCTTGCGTTGTCATCCTGGAAGATGAAACGGCGGCCATGACGTCGTGCGAACGGCACAACATGGACTGCCAAGATGTTGTCCCGGTAGTACTGGCCTGTAACACGCCCTGCAACAACATGTAAAGCCGTTCTTCCAGCAACAGTGATGCCTCCCCACACCATAACAGAACCACCCCCAAATCGATCATGTCTGATGACGTTAACGTCTTGGAAGCGCTCGTTTCGACGACGCCACACCCTCCTACGTCTGTCCAAAAAATCAACAGTGAACCTTGACTCATCTGAAAACATCACATTGCTCCAGCGTCGATTATCCCAGTGTTGACGATCCCTACACCAACGACGTCTTGCCTGAATGTGATGATCTCTCAAACAAGGGATCACGCGAGGACGTCGGGCGCGAAGGTGACCCCTATGCAGTCGATTCCGAATCGTCTGGCCACTCACTCTCACACCAGTGTATGTTTGAAGACGAGCGCTGATCTGATTTGCTGTGATGACACGATTTCTCAAGGCCAAGGTACGGATAAATCGATCCTGGGCTTGAGTTGTCGCCCTTGGTCGACCTGAGCGTGGTCTGTCCTGTACAGATTGTGTATCACGGTATCTGGACCATAGCCTGCTTATGACAGACTGAGAAACATTCATCGTCCGCGCCACAACCGCCTGTGTTGTGCCGATCTGTAGCATGCCAAGGGCACGTAACCTTTCATTTTGGGTAAGCCGACGCATATCAAAATTTGTTTTCTGGTCACTAAAACAATTAAACTGATGTTTCCACCCTGGAATTCAATGCCACAATGACTGTAACATTCAAAGTCAGAGTCGTGCAAATCTTGGGTTGGACCCCCATGATGATCCCAAGCATCACCTGCATTCCATGCGGTAGCTATTGGTGCGTTTGGGCGTCACATGTAACTGGAAATGTTTCTTCTGTTAGGTTCTATAGTGACTTTTTTCGTAGTCATTTGCATATTTTAGTATTATGCCCCCAAAATCAAATATCCCCTACTTTTTTTGAATAGTATATATAAGGTTTTTGTTGTAATTGAACTGAAAAATAATCTCTGAAACTGGTTTCCCCAAATCCAAGATGGCGGAAATTCAAAATGGCGGCCAAAATATACCCAAAATGGCCGATTGATCAGATTAAAGTCATTTCACTGTTTGATTTGGTTTGTAATATATAATTCAAAGGGTTTACATTGTCACTGAACTTAAAATTAATCTAAAAAAAAGTGTCCAAAATCCAAGATGGCGGAAATTCAAAATTTCAACCAACATTTATCTAAAATGGCGGATTTGTCAGATAAAAGTCATTTCACTCTTTGATATGGTTTGTAATATCTAATATAAAGAGATTTCAAAGTCATTGAACTTAAAATCAAACTAAAAAAAGAGTTTCCAAAATCTAAGATGGCGGAAATTCGAAATGACGGCCAGAATTTGCCAATAATGATCAAATTTTAGGATAATCGTGAATTTTCTGTTTGATATGCCTTGTAATATGTCCTCATGGTATATTCAGTTGTAAATAATTTAAGTTCTCCTATTCGTTCAGAAATGGTAATATGATCCGTTTTTTCATCGGAAGACTCTGTGTCCAGTAACATTTGTGGTAGAATCTAGATGTGGTATCGACAGGTAATTTTCGTCAGTGACGTATTTCACAACAATTTCTACATGTAAGAACAACACATTAGAAAAGAGGAAATCGTGGGGGATGACTTTTGGGATACCTATACTAGTCGTAAATGCGTTTCAAATTATTTTCGTGATGATTAGTTTTAAACTTAGAACTTGGTGTGCAATACATTAGAGACGAAAATGATCTGTGGATACCATATTTAGACTATACCACAAAAGTTGCCGGACTTTGATGATTCTCCCTTTTTTTCTGAAACAATCATCTACAATTATCAAATTCAGTGACTCTGAAAACTTAATAGAGGTCATATTACAAGCCATATCAAACAGAAAATTGACGATTATCCTAAAATTTGATCATTATTGGCAAATTCTGGCCGCCATTTTGAATTTCCGCCATCTTAGATTTTGAAAACTCTTTTTTTTTTTAGATTGATTTTTATTTCAATGACTTTGAAAACTCTTCATATTACATATTACAAACCATATCAAAGAGTGAAATGACTTTTATCTGACAAATCGGCCGTTTTAGATAAATGTTGGTTGCCATTTTGAATTTCCGCCATCTTGGATTTTGGAAACTATTTTTTTTATTTAGATTAATTTTAAGTTCAGTGACAATGTAAACCCTTTAAATTATATATTACAAACCAAATCAAACAGTGAAATGACTTTAATCTGAGCAATCGGCCATTTCGGGTATATTTTGGCCGCCATTTTGGATTTGGGGAAACTAGTTTTAGAGATTATTTTTCAGTTCAATTACAACAAAAACCTTATCTTCTATACTAATATTTGTGACTGTCGTTTGTCTGTCTGTCTGTTCGGCGTTGGCGGCTACACTATGTCTGCCCCGAGTCTGAAATTTGGGGTATAGTGGTAGCTCGGACCGGGGAGTAACATAGGCCAGGTGGCGTTAGTCTACCACTTCCGGTTTCGGAGTTATGACCCCCGAGAGAAGCCGGTCTGTTCGGGGTTGGCGGCTACACTAGGTCTGTCCCGAGTCTGAAATTTAGGTATAGGGGTAGCTCGGACCGGGGAGTAACATAGGCCAGGTGGCGTTAGTCTACCACTTCCGGTTTCGGAGTTATGACCCCCGAGCGAAGTCTGTTCGGGGTTGGCGGCTACATCTGCTCTGAGTCTGAAATTTGGGGTATAGGGGTAGCTCGGACCGGGGAGTAACATAGGCCAGGTGGCGTTAGTCTACCACTTCCGGTTTCGGAGTTATGACCCCCGAGCGAAGCCGGTCTGTTCGGGGTTGGCGGCTACACTAGGTCTCCCCCGAGTCTGAAATTTGGGGTATAGGGGTAGCTCGGACCGGGGAGTAACATAGGCCAAGTGGCGTTAGTCTACCACTTCCTGTTTCGGAGTTATGACCCCCGAGCGAAGTCTGTCTGTTCGGGGTTGGCGGCTACACTAGGTCTGCCCCGAGTCTGAAATTTGGGGTATAGTGGTAACTCGGACCGGGGAGTAACATAGGCCAGGTGGCGTTAGTGTACCACTTCCGGTTTCGGAGTTATGACCCCCGAGCGAATCCGGTCTGTTCGGGGTTGGCGGCTACACTAGGTCTGTCCCGATATTGAAATTTGGGGAATAGGGGTAGCTCGGACCGGGGAGTAACATAGGCCAGGTGGCGTTAGTCTACCACTTCCGGTTTCGGAGTTATGACCCCCGAGCAAAGTCTGTTCGGGGTTGGCGGCTTCATCTGCCCCGAGTGTGAAATTTGGGGTATAGGGGTAGCTCGGACCGGGGAGTAACATAGGCCAGGTGGCGTTAGTCTACCACTTCCGGTTTCGGAGTTATGACCCCCGAGCGAAGCCGGTCTGTTCGGGGTTGGCGGCTACACTATGTCTGCCCCGAGTCTGAAATTTGGGGTATAATGGTAGCTCGGACCGGGGAGCAACATAGGCCAGGTGGCGTTAGTCTACCACTTCCGGTTTCGGAGTTATGACCCCCGAGCGAAGCCGGTCTGTTCGGGGTTGGCGGCTACACTAGGTCTCCCCCGAGTCTGAGATTTGGGGTATAGGGGTAGCTCGGACCGGGGAGTAACATAGGCCAGGTGGCGTTAGTCTACCACTTCCGGTTTTGGAGTTATGACCCCCGAGCGAAGTCTATCTGTTCGGGGTTGGCGGCTACACTAGGTCTGCCCCGAGTCTAAAATTTGGGGTATAGTGGTAGCTCGGACCGGGGAGTAACATAGGCCAGGTGGCGTTAGTCTACCACTTCCGGAGCGAAGCCGGGTATCCTGCTAGTATTTGATATATTACAAGCCATACATTGCGTGATAATCACCCATCCTATCTGGAAATTCATTTTTCTTCAAAGTTTGGCGGCTATTTTTGAAATCAGGCAAACCCCAAACGAAAATGACGTCATAGATAAATCTTTTTTCAAAAATCATGTTCAGCTAGCAATTTCGCATCTGGAAATTGCTGGCCTAAAATGATTTGTAAAAAAAAAATGTCCTATTGTGACACCCCTAGTTATATGTATATCAATGAATAGGCGGCCATTTTGGAAAAGATGGCCGTAACGACCACCAGGGGGAGCTGCTGAGATGGATCCACATCCCAAAATAATCAGTAGGGTTGATGCCATCTATGTGCCAAGTTTCATGCTTTTAACCCAAAGTGCACGTTTGTTTTTTTGCTTAACCGCCCCACTATAAGTGGTAACAATGTCAGGGTTTTTGTTTCATACTGAAAGGTAGAATTGGGGTGGTGACAAGGACAATGGTGTACAGTAGTACAGATGGGACGAAAAGCGAGTGGTAATTTCATTCAGAGAAGACCCTACCGCATGAATTGTATATTTTCAAAGTGATTGACATGAATATTATGTTGATGAGAAGTAAAACACTCCTACTTTGTATTTCAGAGTGTCCCAATGACGAAAGAAAGGAAGAAATAATTGAAGAGCCTAAAGATTTTATAATCAAGCAGTATGTATATATTACGTTGTTATTTAATGTAACTTTACCAGAATTAATGAGGGGTTATGCAGGAGGTACACTTAAATTCCCAACTGTAACTGTTGTAATGTGTATTAAACATATTCATTAAATTATTTTCGACAAAAACTTTCAATGTGTTAATTCAGTGCATTGAACAAAAATGTGGAATATCTCCAATCCTGACATTCGGTTTTAGCAGATCTAAATTTACGATAGATCTATTGGGCCCTAATTTGAGGGGTTTCCAATATTAAATAACTGTTGAATCTTCTATTTTGGCCAAAATTAATCTGTATTTGCTTTGCTGCTCTTGATTTTTGATTTATTAATAGCCTGTTACAGTTATTTTAAGGACCTACATAGACGGAGAGAAATAAAAAACTACCGAGAACAAATTGCAAAAGAATTTCTTTGACTGGAATCTAGTAAAGGGGTGTCTAAACGACTCCCAACTCAAAATTGTCCGTTGAAACCCTGTAGCGTTTTTCATAATTAGCATAAATCCAAGATGGCCGCCAATTGGACTTTCTGGCCTCCATATCTTGGAAACGGCTCGTTTTAGAGCAATAAATGTATTATCATTAGATACAAAAGTGATATCAACGAATCGGAAAATAAAATTATCACAACACCAGCAGGTCATGGTGTGACGCCCTAACGTCACAATGACGTCATGACGTCACACTGCCGTTATTTTGACGTCAAAACACTGCTTTGATACTGAATAAGCTGGTTTGACGTGAGTTCTGATGTATTAGGGAACTCAGAATAAGCGGGCTGTGACCTAGTTTGTTTTTGTGACACTGACTGACTGGACTGGAATCCAGTCTGGGTTTTCCCCAGATATTTGAAACTTTTATGACAAAAGTCGTATTTCGCCATGGATACGTGCATAATGTGCGGCAATAACCTAAATAATTGTGGGGATGTTGTCAAGCTCTTGTTATTGGCCTGGAATCCAGTCTGGGGTTTCCCCAGATATTTGAAACTTTTTGTTTGCTAATTTTGTGAAAAGAGTTGTATTTCGCCATGGATACGTGCATAATGGGGGCAATAACCTAAATAATAGTGGTGATGTTGTTAAGCTCTGGTGATTGGCTTGCAATCCAGTCTGGGTTTTCCCCAGACATTTGAAACTTTTTTTGCTAATTTTGTGAAAAGAGCCGTATTTCGCCATGGACACGTGCATAATTTGAGAGTTGAGCGTGAAGGCTGCTCCTCTGTATCTCTCTCTTGTTCTTTTAGTTTCTAATTTTAATCAGTGTCCAAATCTAATGTGATTTTACTTGTGGATACATCAAGATATGGTGATCAAATAGTTATAAGTACTTTTTAAAAAAAATGGAATATTGTAGCTTTATAAGTGTAAATCTAAGATTTTTTTTGATATTAAATAGTGGCTAATGAAGCATGACATTGACTGTATCAACAATCAGTGAACTGTTTGTGTTCGTAAGTGTGATTTGATAATGACAAACAGAGTGAGATCCTCTCATCTCATTCAGTATACAAAATCTCAACTACTGCAACTTAAAGACAGGGTCCCACGGATAAGTATATTTTAATGAACAAACCAACTCGAAGGAAAACAAAATATCGTCACATCAAGTGCCTTATTACGAACCGTAATGATTCAGTTGTTACTTCAGTTATTAATCCTAAAAACCTAATTAAAATCAAAACTATTAATAAGTATAGAAATGATTCAGCCAATACAAAAATGTGCTTATTAAACTGTCGATCGGTTATGAATAAAACACAAGATATAAACACATTCATCTGTGATAACGATTTGGACCTATTAGCTTTAACTGAAACGTGGCTCTCGGATAGTTCTGATTCATCCATTTGTGAATTGGTACCAACCGGGTTTTCAATAATTAATGTTCCTTGACGCAAAAGGGGCCGGGATGTTGCTTTAATCCATAAATCATCTATTTCTTTAAGTCATTATCTGGAGATAAATTTGACAGCTTTGAATACCTTGATTCCAATGTATCCATATCAAATAATTTAATTCGGTGCATTATTATTTATCGTGCTCCATCAAAATCTGAACAAATATTTTTTGATGATTTTTTTAATTTCTTGGAAAAGATTAGTGGTACGAATGAATTATTAATTCTTGGAGATTTCAATTTCCATGTGAACAGCTCATTAAGCACGTCTGCTAATCAGTTTAAAGACCTGTTAAATAACCAGTCGTTTAAACAACATGTGCAAGTACCAACTCATAATCGCGGGCACACACTAGACCTAGTGATAACAAGAGAGGACAGTTCACTTGTGTTAGATGATGTTGACTTTTTTGATGAACTAATTTCTGATCATTTCCCAGTGAAATTTAAATTATCAGTCCAAAAACCGGACTTTGAAACCAAATCAATAACTTACATGAAACTCAAGAATGTAACGTCCGATCAGGTTGTGAATGAACTTGATAACACCGAATTTTTTTAATATTCATCTTCTCAGTGATGTTAACGCTAAAGCCCATAGCTATTTTACAATACTTCACTAAACTCTTGACAACCTTGCCCCGTTACAAACAAAGACAATCAGACTTCGTCCAAATTCGGCCTGGTTTAACAATGATATCCTTGAAGCAAAGAAACTCCGAAATAAAGCAGAACGTAAGTGGCGCGAAACAAATCTCACAAGACATGAACAGATATTTAAATGTAAAAAGAATACAGTTAATCATTTAATACGCAAGGCTAAAAAGTCCTACTACTCGGATAAAATAGAGACTGGTCAAAACAAACAGAAAGAGTTATTCAGAGTAACAAGTATACTTCTTGATCCAAACTATGGCGCCACTAAGCTTCCAGAAACTGTGCCTGTACAGGAACTCCTAGATAAATTATCTGCTTACTTTTCTCAGAAGATTGTCAAGATTCGTGAAGGATTGGTTACTGAGATCAGCGGACATGTCTATCATAAGAATTTGTCTTCTGTAGTCCCAACTCTCTCTCATTTCCAACACGTGTCTGTGTCCGAAATGGCTAAAGTTATGAACCAGTCTTCCTTAAAATCATGTTCACTTGACCCCCTCCCGACAATATTATTAAAAGAATGCCTACCAACCATTGTACCTATTATGCCTGACATTATAAACACTTGTATTTGTGAAAACACCGTTCCTGACGATTTCAAAACCTCAATCATATTCCCACTAACTAAGAAATTCAACTTGGATCAGAATCTGGAGAAAAATTACAGACCAGTATCTAACCTGAGTTTCCTATCTAAAACCTTAGATAGCAAGCCAACTCACATCCGATATCAGTGACAATAATCTAATGGAAGAGTTTCAGAGTGCTTACAGGAAGTTTCATAGCACCGAGACAGCTATTGTTCGGGTACACAATGATATCAACATGAGTTTAGATCGCCGTGAATGTGTGCTTCTAGTTCTCTTAGATTTATCCGCGGCTTTTGACACTGTAGACCACAATATTTTGCTTCACAGGCTACAGTCTGATTTTGGTGTTACTGAAAACGCTCTGAGTCTGTTACGCTCTTATATTACTAACCGCTCACAAAGTGTTGTAGTAAACGGAATATCTTCTAGCCTTTCTGTTCTGGCTTCCGGTGTACCACAAGGTTCCGTCCTCGGACCGATCTTGTTTAGTCTATACACTAAACCACTTGGCCTCATAGTAAGACATCATGGATTATTATTTCATCTATATGCGGATGATACACAGTTGTACATTTCGGTTAAACCTATCAAAAGTGACATCGACATTTCCAAGCTGAGTATTGAAACTTGTATCTGGATGAACAACTATTTTTTTAAACTTAATGCAGAGAAGACTGAGTATTTGGTTATTGGGTCGTCTTTAAACAGGAAAAAGTTTAACTTCGATCTGTCAATACAAGCAGGAAATAGCTGCATTGCCCCTTCTCAATCAGCCCGAAATATTGGTGTAATTTTGAACTCAAATTTTTCTTTGGAAAATCACATAAACAATATTTGCAAAATAAGTTATTTTAATTTAAGAAACATAGCTAAAATGCGTAAATATCTGTCAGTAGCTGCCACAAAAACACTAATAAATTCATTAGTTACTTCGCGTATTGATACTTTTAATTCTGTCCTGTACGGTGCACCCCTCAAACATCTTGAAAAATTGCAAAAATTACAAAACTCAGCTGCTCGCCTTATTTCTGGAGCAGTATATAGGGATCATATTACACCTATTCTATATAAACTACACTCGCTTCCTATTATTTTTATAATTGAATATAAGATTTTATTATTAGTTTTTAAATGTATAAATAACATGGCACCTATTTATCTTAGTAATCTTTTAGGTTTTTATGAACCTCGTCGACAATTACGGTCTTCCGGTGACAATCTGCTACTTATTGAGAAAAAGCTAATCTCGTCAGTTTCGGCGAGAAGGCTTTTGAGGTAGCTGCCCCCAAACTATGGAATAAACTTCCTCATTGAGAACTTTTGTGGAAATGGCGCTATATAAACGCGTATAAATAATAATAATAATAATAATAACCTAAATAATGGTGGGGATGTTGTCAAGCTCACCACAAAGGGATCGAATGTAATCAATCAGGCTGCTCAGCTTCACCAGTTGGACATTTCGGTCACACCTAATGCTCAAATGCTCATGTGCATGTACAGTGCATATAGAATTTCACTCACCAGATTGGATTCCAGTCCAGTCAGTCAGTGTTACAAAAACAAACTAGTTCTCAGCTCGCTTATTCTTAGTTCTCTAAGACACCAGAACTCACGTCGAACCCGCTTATTCGGTATCAAAGCAGTTAGTCCGTCCGTAAAACTTCAATATTGCGAGTGAATCTGGAAATTGTCTATAAAGCTTTTTTTTAGGATTGATTTTAGTAGCCTATGGTGTCCTCTTTCAGAATCTGCCGGGTGAACTCCGGTCACCTTTGAGCGTTTTGCGAAATTCAAGATGGCGTCCAAGACGGTCGCCATTTCAAATAATCCACCATAACTCCCATAGTATTTATTCTAGGACGATAATTTTTGGGTCTAAACGTATGTTACTTTGGTCAAGGAATACACTGAAATCATTCATTATGTTGTAGGTGATTAGATGATAGTAAAATCTAAAATGCCAGACAATGTGGCCCTTTAACTCGTTAGCGGCGGCTGAGGGCCATTATTTTACCAAACCAAACTATATCTAGAGACAAACTACATATTTCTGGATAAAGGAGCATATGAGTGATGTGAAAACATCACATACATGCCTATTAGGGGCTCTAGGGCCACATGGGCCGGTCCTGAAAGGGGGGGGGGTGCACAAGCTGTTTTGTGAACATTTAAACAAACAAATTCTACCCACAAAACACGAAAATAACCCCCACAAAACTAGGCAATATCCAGTTTAATCCTTTGGTCGTATTTCTGGCTGCAACCTAAGACAGTACAAGCACAAAATACTGTACATTCTAAGCTATCCGTAGTGCATCTACAAGCAAGCGTACTGCATGAGGTGTCATTCTTGTATGCGCATCTGATGAGACACATGACAGACCCGGGAGCAAGTTGGCCGGTTGTAGTGTTATCAATTTAGTATCATTCACCCAGCAATATTGCTTGTTGATAAGCTCTTTTTACGTTCCCTGTAAATGCATTATTCATTGAGCAAGACTACCATGTTTGAGTGGGGATGATGACTTTTAGATGTCCATACCCACCAGCGTGTTTCAGGCATCGATTTTGCTAGAACTCTGTCCATAACAAGCTGCCATAAAAACAGTGGCCTGTGTAAGCACCGATTGACCAGTAGCGGATTATCAGTGAGGCTGATGAGGCTGCAGCCTCAGGCCCAAAGATTTTGTAAAAAATGTTAGGGGGGTGGTGGGTTAAGGCCCAACGGGAATCAACATAGGCCCTGACCCGAAATTAATTAGGCCCACGCCATTTTAAATAGGCCCTATTTAAAAACTAAATAGGCCCTCCAGCAACTGCCGCCTCGCCTCAGGCCTTGGTGGAGCGTAATCCGCCACTGACCGATTCTACTACTCCGACGACTAAGAGAGAGAAAACAATGAAGCTCTCACCCACCACTTCCAAAGCTGTAGCAGCATGTAACCGTGTCATATCGAGTAAGAATATGGGCTGACAAGATTCCAGTGATAATTGACATGTCAACGGTTGTTTCTTCTTTGATTGGTGATTCCAGTGTCAACGGTTATTTCTTCTTTGATTGGTGATTCCATTGTGACGTGATTCTTGTCAGCTTGTTATGGACAGAGCTCTTGCAAAACGACGCCTGAAACACGCTGGAGGGTATAGGCATCTGAAACTGGAAATATATCGTCATCATCCACACTTAAACCATGTAGTCTTGCTCTAACAAATGATGCATTCGTATGGAAAGTAAAACATGTCACCACCATGCTATTGTGTGGCATTTACTGGAAGATCGCAATCCACGGGAACTTGATCCAGAACTGTATTGTTGGGTTAAGGAGACTAAATTGAGAACATTACAGTCGGTCAAATTGCTCATCAAATGCGGATGCACGAGTGACCCCACCAAATAGTACGCTTGCTTGTAGCTGCACTAAGGGTGGCTTAGAATGTATAGTATTTTGCATCTGTGCTGTCGCAGGTTGCAACCAGACACACGACTAAAGGATTAAACTGAATATTACCTAGTTTTGTGGGGGTATTTGTTTTTATAAAAAATCAAAACACAGATTGTGCCCTTCTTTTCAGGGCCGTCCCATGTGGCCGTGGACCCCTTGTTAGCCATGTATGTAGTGTTATCGTATCAATCATATGCTCCTATGCCCATAAATATATAGTTTGGTTCGGTGAAATAATTATTGTTCAAACCGCCGCTATCGAGTTAAAGGGCCATATTGTCTGGCATTTTGCATTTTACTCTCATCTAATCACCCCACAACATAATGGATGATTTCGATGTATTCCTTGGCCCCAAAAACATACGATTAGACACCAAAATTATCACCCTAGACAAAATAGTATGGGGGTTATAGATGATTATTTGAAATGACGGCCGTCTTGGAGGCCATCTTGAATTCTCAAAACGCTCAAAGGTGACCCAGGTTCAACCGGCAGATTCTTAAAGAGAACACCATAGGCTACTAAAATCAATCATAAAAAAATATGTGTGTACAACTTCCAGGTTCAGCCATAGTTCTGCCGGACTAAGTGTTTTGACGTCAAAATAGCGTCAGTGTGACGTCATAATGCCATCATGACGTCACACCATGTCCTGCTGGCGTCGTGATTACCTTTTTTTCCGATTCGTTGGTATCACTTTTGTATCTAATGATATACATTTACATGCTCTAAAACGAGCCGTTTCCAAGATATGGAGGACAGAAAATCCAATTGGCGGCCATCTTGGATTTATGCTAATTATGAAAAACGCTACAGGGTTTCAGCGGACAATTTTGAGTTGGGAGTCCTTAAGACATCCCTTTACTAGATTCCAGTGAAAGAAATTCTTTTGCAATTTGTTCTCGGTACATGACAAACAGAAATTATATCTCTCCGTCTAACAGTTTGGTGGGGTGGAATGGGGGTTGAGTGGGACAAAAATGAGGCAGTGTGAAGTTAAATCTGTTTCGTTATTGGCGAATAGCGATTAACGAAACAGAACGCATGTTGTTATGCGGGGTTCGGCAATAATGAATAACGAGTCAGGATGTTTTCAGTCCGTAGGATGAAGGCGGCGGGGGGTAATCCGATCTGTGAATTTTCCTTGACCAGTTTTTTTTTGCGTAGATTCCGAATCTGTGTCGTGATCAGGCGTCGGAGGGGGCGTTTTCAAGATATGGGTCCAATGTCTACAATTGGGGGGGGGGGGTGTAATTATGTTGCATAAACAATGATCATGTTATATATTAATGAAACATCCATTTCTAGGACTGTCCATCTCTAAATAAGTGTATATGATGCCAACTGTTTTGATTTGTGTGGAGGTGGGTGGAGGTTACGTGTGTGGAAGAGTGGGCGGGGGCGGGAAATGAGTTATCGTTGATGTAAATGATGATTTCCTTATTCATAAGTTCTACTTTTCGAGTTGCATTTTGGCTTGTATAGCGTGTTGGCGCCTTCTTACTGACATCAATAAATACAAAAATATGACTACGTCGAAAGTCGACAAGACGATATACAAGCCAAAATGCAAGTCGAAAAGTCGCTAATAGCGTGGTGTGTTAATTTCCTAATTTCTACTTTTCGCGTTGCATTTTGGCTTGTATATCGTGTTAGCGCCTTCTTACTGACGTCAATAAATACAAAAATATGACTAAGTCTAAAGTCGACAAGACGGTATACAAGCCAAAATGCAAGTCGAAAAGTAGAAATTAGGAAAAAACGAGGGGCGCTATTATCGCTGTGTGTTATTTCTTAATTTCCTATTTTCGAGTTGATTTTGGCTTGTATACCGTTTTGTCGCCTCACATTTTGTCGTAACTTCTACTTTTCGACTTTTCGACGTTCGTGTTTTGAAGAGGCGAAAAGTAGAAATTATGAATGGTAGTTATAAGCTTCCATATTTTTCCACCCAGAAACCTTTTTTCTAACATCATCTACTGATGTAAGTCACATTTCGCGATATTTTCTACCTTTGCCCGTTTCATTATCGATCACCACCCAGACTCCGAATCTACGCAAAAACATTGGTCTAGAAAAACCTTGGTCACATCAACTCACAGCTTGGGTGGCGATTCAGCACTTCAGCCACCGGAATAATTAGCCAGAAACGAATAATGAATAAAGAACCACGAATTAACTTCACACTACCGGAAAATGACAGCTTGTTTAGATATTAACTGCCGAGGATTATGTTAAAGGAAATGACTGCACAGCATCCGGAGTCCACATTTACTATGTAATGTAATGTGATTTTTTCAGCTACATTTACCAAACTACAACGAACAGCGAATATGCTTTGAAACGAAATGACCTCTTTGAACACGACAACGAAATTTGTCGATTTTTAATAAACATGGCTTTTGGCTTTAAGTTTAATGGTTAAAAACGGTAATCAACTTTCATGATTGTCACTGAATACAGATAGACATAAATGCAGCTACGTTTGTTTTGATTAATTTTGTAAAATGTAAGTAGTAGGCCTATAAGAGATGAATCACATAATGTATCTACACATAGACTGGTAATTAAAACTGTATCCAGGCTTCATTTTGAGTTTCGCCTCTCTACTAAATAGACGGTAGTCCTACATATTAGACTATAACAATCGTTTATCATTTTGGGTATTTAGGTGAGCCGTTTCGAATACCCCCACAATAAATAGATAATAATGGAATTCTTGAAATAGTGGCTTAGATGGATGATAACGCATAGGCTTTGACATTGATTTATTGATTAAAACGCGCGTGTTTCTTTTCAAGAAATGAAATTTATTATTTGCTGATTTGTTGACATGTACATAAAAGGTGACCAAGTTCGACTGATTTGAACACAAATCGTTAAATTACTTTTGATCCTTTAAATTTATTTTTTAGATTGGAGACACATATTGCATCTGGGAACATCAATGAAGTAGAGACATTACTAAAACAAATACAACCTGCTGATATGAGCAAATTAAACTGTGAATTTATTAAATTGACTAATAAGGCAATAGTTGGGGGAAATTTACCACTATTGCAATGTTTATTTACTAACTGTCTATTGTTACAATCTGATATTAATCTTAGTTTGGAATTTTTAACAAGCGCTATAAAATCTGATTTTGTTGAAGGTATCAAGTATCTGTATTCTCATGGATTAAGTTTACAATTTCGACATGAGGGTAATCTATGGAGTGCTTTAACCAATGGACTGGACGTGGATGGTTATACTCCTTTAACGTATGCTATAGCAGCTGTACGATATCGTGGTGATAATATCGATACATGTATAAAACTAATCTCATTACTAATTGAACATGGAGTTGATATTAATGGAATGGACGGGAATGGTGATACTCCTTTAACACTTGCTATACAATATCATCGTCATAATATCGACACATGTATAAAACTAGTATCATTACTAATCGATCGTGGAGCTAATATTAATGGAAATGCCAGGGGTGGCAATACTCCTTTAATATATGCTATAAAATATCATATTGGTAATATCGATAGAGATATAAAACTAATTTCACTCCTAATCAAACATAGAGCTAATATTAATTTAATGGACAATATTGGTTATACTCCTTTAACTTACGCCATACGATACCATGGTGATAATATCGATACATGTATAAAACTAATATCATTACTAATCGAACATGGAGCCGATATTAATAGAGTTAACAAGTTAGGTGATACTCCTTTAACACTTGCTATACAATATCATGGTGATAATATCGATACATGTATAAAACTAATATCATTACTAATTGAACATGGAGTTGATATTAATCGAAAGGACAGGGATGGTAATACTCCTTTAATATGTGCTATAACATATCATATTGGTAATATCGATCCATGTATTAAACTAATTTCACTCCTAATCGAACATAGAGCTGATATTAATGAAATGGACAAGAATGGTTATACTCCTTTAACGTATGCTATAGCAGCTGTACAATATCATCGTCATAATATCGATACATGTATAAAACTAATATCATTACTAATCGAACATGGAGCCGATATCAATAGAGTTAACAAGTTAGGTTATACTCCTTTAACACTTGCTATACAATATCATGGTGATAATATCGATACATGTATAAAACTAATTTCACTCCTAATCGAACATAGAGCTGATATTAATGAAATGGACAAGAATGGTTATACTCCTTTAACGTATGCTATAACATATCATGGTGATAATATAGACACATGTATAAAACTAATATCATTACTAATTGAACATGGAGTTGATATTAATGGAAAGGACAGGGGTGGTGATACTCCTTTAACACTTGCTATACAATATCATCGTCATAATATCGATACATGTATAAAACTGATATCATTACTTATTGAACATGGAGTTGATATTAATGGAATGGACGGGGATGGTGATACTCCTTTAACACTTGCTATGGGAGCTGTACGATATCGTGGTGATAATATCGATACATGTATAAAACTAATATCATTACTTATTGAACATGGAGTTGATATTAATGGAATGGACGGGGGTGGTGATACTCCTTTAACACTTGCTATACAATATCATCGTCATAATATCGATACATGTATAAAACTGATATCATTACTTATTGAACATGGAGTTGATATTAATAGAATGGACGGGGGTGGTGATACTCCTTTAACACTTGCTATACAATATCATCGTCATAATATCGATACATGTATAAAACTGATATCATTACTAATCAAACATGGAACTGATATTAATGGAATTAACAAATTCGGTGATACTCCTTTATCACTTGCTGTTAAATGTCATCATCATAATATCGACACATGTATAAAACTTGTATCATTACTAATCGAACAAGGAGCATGTGTAAAACAAAAGGTTAAATCGGGTATTACACCATTAATGATAGCGGCGCAATACGCTATTCACACAAATATCGTTAAACTTGTATTGGGAGATAAAGATAACGTTAATAGTATTGATGATGATGGTCTATCAGCATGTAGATATTGTTTTAAACGGGGCTACTCATATTTTACAAAAAGAGATTATAGGACTACCCTTAACATCTTCAAACTTTTAGTTGAGTCTGGTGCTGACATGGTTAGTAATGGAGTTAAATTACTTCATGATATTCTTACACTCGGTAATTTACACATCTTTGAGTATTATATTGGATTAAAGTCACCATTTGCTGATGTATCTGATCAAACAAATGAAACTTTTTTGCATCTACTGGCCAAAGTGAAATATAACTTTACATTTGATCAATTCAACTGGCTTTTTTATTATGGTGCTGATATAAATCGCAGAGATTCCAAAACGAACACTCCGGCTATTATTGCCGGGTATTTGCTCAATAACAGATATTTAGAGTTTTTAATCAAACAAGGTCGTATGTGTGATGTTAATATACAGAACAAAGTAGGACAAACTGCTTTACACGCTGCTGTTGTTAGATGTTCGCAATTAAACAGCCAATTTCAAGAAGCCAAAGTTGCCGAGTTCAAGAAGAGTGTCAGCATCGAAAACCCAAGAAAGGAATTCAAAAACCAAGCCTCGAAACTTACTGGTGAATTGAAGCAAACGCTTAAAATGAACTACAGTGCATTTAAAGAGTGTGTAGATGTCTTGAACAATTTCAAAGTTGATGTCAATATTCAGGACTCGAATGGAAAAACAGCGCTAATGTTAGCTGCTACTAGCAATAACATATATATGGTAAAGACACTATTGGACACAGGAGCAAATCTTCATATACTGGATAATAAACATGGATCATCAGCCTTACAATTACTTTGTGTTGGTTGCGGTAGGGAATGTTTGAGAATGTTCATAGCTAAGGGTGGTCACACATTGATAGATTTAGCAGGGACAGATGGAAACACGCTGATTCAGAGAGCTTTATTATTTCATATCTGTTGTAACCCCCATAAAACCATTGAAGGTATCTGTTGTTTAGTCGCAGAAAATTGTTGTCTTCAAAAGTTAAAGTCCACTGCAACTAGTTACTACAGTGATCTAACGTTAGATATGTTAGATAGTGAAGAGAGGCACAAACTTAGACAATTACTTTATCGAAGCGGGGCACCAGTAGCAGAAATTGTTTCCACCATCAATTTCGAAATGGAGGATGCCGGTGCGACTGCTCAATGTCTTTCTCCAAACAGGGACAAATTCAGTTTGTTCTGTTTCAATTTATCTTTAAAGGGCAAATGTGTCAGAATTATTAGGCAACATATTGGACTTGATGTAAGTAAAAGGGTTGAACAGTTAGACATCCCCCTGGAGCTAAAACCCGACATCCTTCTCGTTGATCGTATACCTAAATGCTATTCCCGTGATAATTATATTGATGGCAGTAATGATATGTTTCATTCTGAAGATGAAGATGGTAATATTTATCATGATCAAAACAATTGCAATAGAGAGACGAGAGGTGGTCATACAAAACTCCAAGTTTGTCACGGTATCGTGGATATAAATGATGATGATATTTATAACTATGAATACTATAAAATGGATAAGAAGTTAGAAGATCTTGTTATTGAGGACGAAGAAGAATTGAATGGGCCATCAAAATCATCATCATCAGAAGAAAAAGAAGACAAAAACGATGATGATGATGATGATGATGATGATGATACTGAGGCGAGGATGACGGAAATACATGATGAAGATAATGATGTGGAGAGGGGTAATATAGGATATCGATAATATACTCAAAACCATTACTGATCTCTGTATTTACGAGACATGATAACGCATAAGAAGAACGAATTTAGTAATTGGTACCGTATTACAAAGAACCATTACTTCAATTCAGAACATACAAAACAATGTCACTGCCTCTATTATAGTTAAACAATTGCAACTGTCAGTTAGACTGCAACAAAACAAATCGGTCATTTTTTTTATTATTAAAAGCGGGAGCTGTGGTGGTTCTATGAGTAAGACGTTTGCTCGCTAATCTGGGGATCTTGGGTTCGCTCCGGGTGTTGGGTGATACAGGAAAGTAGGACGTTCAACGCAATTTCATTCAATTTGCCTACCTGGTTGTACCGTAAACTGATTAATTCGCAATTGCAAACTGATGCTTTTCCACTCACACTTTACCATCATTTGTTTGCTATTAATCGGTATCGTTTTTTAGTCTACATAGTTAGTATTATATGTATAATTCATTTATCAGCACCATTTTGTCATAAATAATTAATTATATCCGCGTGATCATGCTTTCAGTTATTAGCACCCCGTTGTGATAATTGGTTTATCAGCACCGTGTTGTAATTAATGGTTTATCAACTCCACGTTGTAATAAATGGTTTATCATCATCATGTTCTAATTAATAGTTTATTAGCTCCATGTTGTAATTAATGGTTTATCAGCACCATGTTATTATTAATGGTTTATCATCACCATGTTATTATTAATGGTTTATCACCGTGTTATAATTAATGGTGTATCAACACCATGCTATTATTCATGGTTTATCATCACCATGTTATCATTAATGGTTTATCACCATGTTGTAATTAATGGTGTATTAACACCATGATATTATTCATGGTTTATCATCACCATGTTGTCATTAATGGTGTATCATCACCATGTTATTATTAATGGTTTATCAGCACCATGTTGTAATAAATGGTTTGTTAGCACCGTGTTGTAATAAATGGTTTATCAGCACTGAGTTGTAATTACTGGTTTGTCAGCACCGTGTTGTAACAATTGTTTATCAGCGCCGGCTTAAGTCATTATCACCTTTGTTATTGCCATTAATTGTATAATAGCTTCGTAATATCGGTAATGGTTTATCAGCTCCATGTTGTAATTAATGGTCTATCCTCGCCGAGTTGTTTCATTATTACCCTTTTTATTGACATTAATTGTTGTTCAGCTCTATGTTGTCATTATTACTTATTTTATCAGCACCATGTTGTAAATAATGGTTTATCAGCTCCATGTTGTAAATATTGGTTTATCAGCTCCATGTTGTCATTATTATTTTTTTATTGACATTAATTGTATATAAGCTCCGTATTATAATCTCCGTATAGATATGGATCTATGTTCAATGATTAAAAAAATACAATTGCCAATTGTATCCTGCATGTGTACTTGTTTACATATGAATATAAGTGGCTTTATAATAGGTGCATCGCGAGCACCTACTAATACCTCATACACATGTTCAGATAGAAAGCACAAATTTAAAAGATGGGCTCGCATTCGATACAGATCTGAAGTAGCGAGTTTTGTTGATGTCAGTTCACAGAACGATTATTGTACCTCTATAATAATTTGTAATGCATGATCAAACTAAAACGTGACGAAGTATGCGTCTGGTGATGTTGCTGTGTGTGACGAACTTGTAATTGTCGAAATTTGTTTATACATAGATCTTAATGTCTATTATTTTGTAATCGGGTACGGACATGACAATATGTGGTGCAATTCATATGTTTTATATGTATATATTAATTTCTATGTGGTGTCATTCATATATATTGTATGTATATATTAATTACTATGTGTTGCCATTCATATATATAGTATGTATATTATTATATTAATCACCATGCGTTGCCATTCATATATACGTTGTATGCATATATTAATTACTATGTATTATTAACTAGTTGCCATGTATATGTTGTTTTTTTGTTTTTGTAGTTATCATTTATATGTTTGTGATTGTATACCCAAATGCCCATTTCACTCTATATCTGTAAAGTCGTACTAGCTCATTTCGGGACTAACACACTGTTCAATTTTATTTCAATGGTAGGGATCCTGAGGTTGGACATGTGACTCTACTCCTTGTCACGTTCTAGCGGGAAATCAAAACCTTGGGGTTTCATGCTTTAGCTATGTGGATCCATTCGCTTTATTTGATATTTATTGTTATTTGCTTGTAGTACCTGTGTTGGTTGTCATGTCCGCAGGTTATTCGTTTTTTGGGGTTTTTTTTGTATGTGTGTAGTGCGGTACTCCTGTACTTACTGTTCATTTCCTTAAACAAAACTGAATCGCTGTAATAATTGTTGTATTATCTCCATTTTTATGTATGCGTAATGTGTTATACGACCCTTAAGTTTTTGTACTTAGCCAAAATGCTCGCTGTATTGAACTATAGGCCATATAAACATTAATTTATGATTTCAAATGTTTTTAAATGTTCAACAGTTTGCATATTTTCTAAGAAAGTCAAAACATAATTATTCAATATCTATTACTTAATTGTCACATCACTCCTATGCAATCACAGAAATCATTCTAGCGCTTAAAAATTGAAATTGTATCATTTCTTTTCACTTCCACATAATGGAAGAGAGAGTTGATTGCTTTGTCAATGTTCGTGGTTAAACAGATAAGCATAATGATGCTTGCTTGAGTGAGATATTTCAACCCTGCACCCATGATAATAACACCGTAAATTCAACGTTGGATTTAAAACGAAAATGATATTTTGCCAATTTCTCAACTGAAAAATAGGATTTAGGATTTTATATTCTTTAAGAAGTAATGTATTTAAGGCTTTATTTTACGCATTTTTTAACATAGGACATATTCTTTAAGGTGGTAGCCGTGTATTTTAAGGTTTTATTTTAACATACTTTAAACATAATATGCTTATGACTTAAGAAAATGCAATCGCCACTTTAATATGTTTTAACTCTTGGCGTCACGTTATCCATTTGTAGCTAAAGGATTATAACCAAATATTTTGTAGATAAAGAACTATAACCAAATATTTTGTAGAAAAAGAACTATAACCAACTTTTTTGTTTGTTGTAGCATTGATAGTATGGGTTATTTAATAAAAGGGAGCTTCCCATATGGTCGCAAATAATGAAGTATTATATACATGGGGCCTTGTTTACATTGCGAAACTGCATGAAGGTGGCTTTCAGTGGATGCGGATCATAAGTCCGGATTGCAAGAGTTAAAAGTTCAAATGAACTAGTTGTAATCTACGTATTGGGTGCCACGACGACTAAGTGGGTAAGACGCCGGCTCGCTAACCTGGCAGGGACAGTCGCCTAGTCGTTCGGATGGGACATAAAACCGAGGTCCCATGTGTAGATTGGCTTAAAAGATCCCTGTGCAGTTGGATTAGATATAAGAGCTGACCATAATGCCACTGCCCGGCAAAATTATCCACATAGCACACTAAATGGGTATGTCCATCTTCATAAGCGCAGTCCTAAGTAATGATTCATCATATTTGAAAGTAAAGTCATCACTAAAGGCACACGAAAAATAACCTGCCTTTCCGCAAGTCAGAAGTAGATCTTTTATACTTGCACATGTGAAATGAAACCGAGAGAGAGAGAAATTGGGTTTAACATCCACTTGACACAAACTAGGTCATTCCGGGACTAACATATGGTTCAATTTTATCTCCATAATTCGCTTGTGCATAGGGGTCTTTAGCAATTGGAGGAAACCGGAGGACCCGGAGAAAACCGACGAGGTTGGACAGGTGACCCTACTCCTTGTCACGTACAACCGGGGAATCGAAACCCCAGTTGACACTATGACAGACTTTATGATACAGCGCGCACGTGCTAACCAATCAGCCCCCCCCCCCTCCCCCTGAAAAATTGTTTCTTGGTTGACGATTGGTTGTATGCTGAACACCAAAAACTAAAGCTTACAACCTGCATTGGGGTATTGTGTAACTAGTTCATAAAGAAAATACCGTGATGAATGGTGTAAACAGAAGAAAGTTCCGTCTAAAAAAATGTTTAACTCATGCCCAACCTAGAGTAGCGCACAAATTTTTGGAGTTGTCTAGCGTGACCCATGACCCACCTACAGTGTCCCACTGACCCATCTACATAAGAGGCCTATCAAATCTACAGTGTCCAAGTGCTTGCAAGATCCTGAGATCATTGCCAGCGACCATCAATGAAATTGTTTATAAATTTTTTATAAGGTTTTCAACATTCGGATATGGGAAGATCTAAAGCAGACTTAACAGCCGATTCTGCTTGATCCATCCCTTTGATATCCATGTGACTGGAGATCCAGAAAAGGACCACAGGATAGTAGACCGTGTTTTTATTTATTGCTTGTAAACAGGAAAATTAAACAGAACAGATTATGTGTTTTAAATCTAATGGGGACTGAATGAACAGCAAAGCCGGACGAATGGCCAGGGACGCTGTAAATATGAACGCACCAGGTGGAAGACGCACGGAAAGAGTTTTGGATGGAGTGAAGGTAGTCCAAGCTACCAGATCACCATCTTTAGAACCATATGTGTAAATAAATACCATATTGAGATCGCAACTCACGAAAGATAGATTGAAACACCATGGAACTAGTATCTTTCGTTTATTTTTGAGTAAGACTGAATCGCCCATCAGCCCTAAAGGGGTATTCGCAATACTGTCAATGCTGATACACCATCCTCAGACATGTTGGTTTTGGAATTTTAGAATGTTTCTACGGGCTTCTACCCATCATTAACATGTTTGGGGATTGGTCAGTAATGGGATATCTGTTAAACTATCATTAGTTTAGGGAGATATTCACCACAATATCTGTTATACCATCTTTAGTTTAGGGAGATATTCGCCCCAATGTCTGTTATACCATCGTTCTTTCCCGTGACATTCACTCCATGTTTGTTATACGATAATTCGTTGAGGGAGATATTCACCCGAATATCTCTTATACCACAATTCGGTGAGGGAGATACCCCCCCCCCCCAATGTCTGTTTTGAAATGGGCTTTTACGTCATTCTAAACGAGGCTTATGTGATACAAGTTGTGTTTTGATTAAAAAGAAAAAAGCAATTTATATGGTCAGGTGTTATATTTAAAATAATCATGTGAGGTTATAAGCAATAGATGTATGATGACAATTATGTTAAAATGGTGATATTCATGTGTAATTAAAGCTCGACGATTCAATAACTATGTTATACTTTGTTTATTGAACACATCTAGTATTTTTCTGTTAATAAAACTTTAGTTAAAACTTTTAATAAAACCCGGGTTATCATGTTGCAAATATAAAATATTATCTGTGGTAAACGTGATGATGCCGCATTTGCATTTGTTGCTAACATATCAAATTGCTCTCTGCGTAATCCACCCTAAATATGTACTCAGATTGATTATTCTACATTTAATAAAGAACACAAAGTCCACCAACGCTCTACACTCCCCACCCTCCGGCTTGGACTCAGGAGGATTTAAATAGTCATATTATTTTGATTGGCCAGCAACAAAAGACAGCCAGCGGTACACATCGATGAAATTTCAGTTCAGCATATCTGTGTAAATACTTTCACAATATTATTGCAAGGCATTCATGAAGTTACGGTGGCTCAGTGTTCGATCCCTGCATTGGTCGAGTAGGGTATCGGAATTTTCCAGCCTGGTTCCTCCTGTCAGTGTTGCAGGACGGATGGCGTGGCAAGGGAATATAAGAGTAGACAAAAGTAGGTAATATATGTCCGGCCACAATGTTTCTCATAGCACAATGTATGGCGTATGCCCATCTTCATTTACCCAGTCGGAGAAAAACAGTAGGACGTCAATCTCCATTTCAGTTTATTTTCATTTGCAAAGCAATGCTATTGCGTTAAAATCACGCAGCGAGTCTTTAATTTAGATTCAAATAAATATTTGCGCAAAATTTTACGTTTATTTATTTTGTATTGATAATTGGGATCCATGCAACCTTGCTGTCAATATGTACCTTCCTTGTTTCAGCTATTCAGATCAACACATTGCAAATCAAGTTCAATATCCCCTATAGATAAAAGCATACCAACACTCTACTAACAACAGTAAAACATAGGTTCTAATATCCCCTATCACTTATAGATATAAGTTTACTGACACCCCACTAACTATAGTAAGACATACCCACGAAGACAATGTGGAAATAATTAAAAATGCAGGTGCCCATTCGACAAAATACTAA